TCTTTGAATCACACACACAAAATAGTGGTAAATGTGAATTCATCCATAAACACTTTAGTAACTTATTCATTTACTCTCTTATACTCTAGTTAGATACAAGCAAAAAGAAGCAGAGTAGCTCTGTTAAGTTTCACAGACAACATACTATTAGCTAAAGCCTGTTAGAAATTTAATAGAAATGGAATCAGAAATTTTTTCCAATCTGTCATAACCCAGTTTATTGAGCCAAAGATTTCATGGAAATTGAGACATGGTAGTGATTGTTAGTACATACTTCTTTTTATGAGCTAAGTTGACATAAATGATAAAACCATTTTTTAAAAAATGGCTTAGAGTAGTAAATCTAAGTCAGACGATCTTCACTGAATGAGTTTATTGGATCTTAAAAGTAAGCCACAGTATTTTCACTTTAAAAAAAATTATAGAGAACTCTAAAGGAGTGTCAAAATGCTTCATGAAAAAAAATTTAGTCTTTATCTGCACTAGAATTATGACTTTAATACTCAGTTTAAGCCCCCAAAGTGCTGTCTTTCCAGTAGCAGCTTACAACTATTAATTATGCAGTTTGGTTAGCACTATATTGTGTGCTATGAAGGACATGCATACTGCATGATCTTTTCAAGTCTTTATGATATTTGGGGAGACAGAATATAACACACGTTAAAACAAAAAGGCACAAAAAGCAAGTTTTATTGATTATGACGTTCATGTATAGATACCCAGATCCTAAGCAGGTTCTTAAAAGGCAATATTAGATACTTTATACAATGTGAAAGAAAATAAGTAAACTCTACTTTAGGTTAGAATAGTCTCTGGAAAGATAAGCTTTATGTGAACTCTATTGGAAGAGAGAATCTATGAGAAGAAAATTGAGTCAGCAGAGGTACAGAGTTGGGAGTGCATATGGTGTGCTTGTAAAGCTGTTAAACAGGTTCATGTGGTAAAGATGGAGATTACACAAAGAGATAAGGTGAGACTGGCACGCCGAAATCAGATTATGAAGTATTCCTGAAAAGCAAAATTAGGAGTTTGGTTTTTATTTTAATTAGTTATACATGACAACAGAATGCATTTTGATTCATTGTGCACAAATGGAACACAGCTTTTCATTTCTCTGGCTGTACACAATATAGAATCACAACATTTGTGCAGTCATATGTATTTAGGGTAATGATATCTGCCTCATCCCACTATCTTTCCCACCCCAATACCCACCTCCACTCCCCTTTGCCTAATCCAAAGTTCCTCTATTTTTCCCTTCCCTTGCTCCCCCCACCCATTATGGATCAGCATCCACGTATCAGAGAAAACATTTTGCTTAGCATGATGTTCTTCAACTTCATCAATTTACCCGTAAATGCCATAATTTTATTCTTTTTTAAACCTGAGTAATATTCTGTTGTTGTATATATACCAGTTTCTTTATCCATTCATCTATTGAAGGGCATCTAGGTTGGTTCCACAGTTTAGCTATTGTGAATTGAGCTGCTATAAACATTGATGTGGCTGCACTATAGTATGCTGATTTTAAGTCCTTTGGGTATAAACTGAGGAGTGGGATAGCTTGGTCAAATGGTGGTTCCATTCCAAGTTTTCTAAGAAATCTCCATACTGCTTTCCAAAGTGGTTGCACCAATTTGCAGTCAACCAACAATGTATGAGTGTGCCTTTTCTCCTGCATCCTCACCAATGCTTATTGTTGCTTGTATTATTGATAGTTGCCATTCTGACTAGAGTGATGAATTCTTAGAGTAGTTTTGATGTGCATTTCTCTAATGAGATGTCAAACATTTTTTCGTATATTTGGGATCAATTATATAATCTTCTTCTGAGAAAATTCTTTTTAGTTCCTTAGCCCATTTATTGGGCTATTTGGTTTTATTCTTTTTTAAAGCTTTACAAAGCCCATTGATTGGGCTATTTGGGTTTTTTTGTTTTGTTTTGTTTTCTTTTCTTTTCTTTTTAAGTTTTTTTGAGTTCTTTGTATATCCTGGAGATTAGTGTTCTATCTGATGTGTGTGTGTAGTAAAGATTTTCTCCCACTCTGTAAGCTCTCTCTTCATATCATTAATTGTTTTCTTTGCTGAGAAGAAGCTTTTTAGTTTGAATCCATCCCATTTATTGATTCTTGATTTTATTTCTTGGACTTTGGGAGTCTTGTTAAGGAAGTCAGGTCCTAATCTGACATGATAAAGATTTGAACCTACTTTTTCTTCTGTTGGGTAGAGGGTGTCTGGTCTAATTTCCAGGTCCTTGATCCACTTTGAGTTGAATTTTGTGCATGGTGAGAGAGAAGGGTTTAATTCTATTTTGCTGCATATGGATTTTCAATTTTCCTAGCACCATTTGTTGAAGAGACTATCTTTTTTCCAGTGTGTTTTGGTGCCTTTGTCTTGTATGAGATAACTGTATTTATGTGAGTTATTTTCTGTGTCCTCTGTTCTGTACCATTGGTCTACATGTCTATTTTGGTGCCAATACCATGCTGATTTTGTTACTATAGCTCTGTAGTATAGTGTAAGTTCTGGTATTATGATGCCTCCTGCTTCATTCTTCTTGCTAAGTATTTCTTTGATTATTCTGGGTCTCTTATTTTTCCAAATGAATTTCATGATTGCTTTTTCTGTTTCTTTGAGGAATGTCATCGGGATTTTAATTGGAATTGCACTAAATCTGTTTAATGCTTGTGGTTGTATTATGGTCATTTTGACAATGTTAATTCTGCCTATTCAAGAACATGGGAGATCTTTCCATCTTCTAAGGTCTTCTTCAGTTTCTTTCTTTAGTGTTCTGTAGTTTTCATTCTAGAGGTTTTTAACTTCTTTTGTTAGATTGATTCTGAAGGTTTTTTTTTTTTTAAAGCTATTGTGAATGGGGTAGTTTTCCTAATTTCTCTTTCAGAGAATTCATCACTGCTGTATAGAAATGTGTTTGATTTGTGAGTATTGATCTTATATCCTGCTACTTTGCTGAATTCATTTGTTAATTCTAGAAGTTTTCTGGTGGAATTCTTTGGATTCTCTAACTATAGAATCATCTCGTTGGTGAATTATGATAGTTTGAATTCTTCTTTTCCTATTCCCTTTAATTTCTTGAGTGTGTCTAATTGCTCTTGCTAGAGTTTAAAGGACTATGTTGAATAGAAGTGGTCAAAGAGGGTATCCCTGTCTTGTTTCAGTTTTTAGAGGAAATGCTTTCAATTTTTCTCTATTTAAAATGATGTTGGTCTTGGGCTTAGCATAGATAGCTTTTACAATGTTGAGGTATGTTTCTATTGTCCCTATAAGGTACTGGAAGCCATTAAAGGTCTCTGAGTAGAAGATGTTAGAAATGACTATATTTAAACTAATCCAGTTATTATACATAGCAGATTAGAAAGAAGGGTGGGAAAGGAGCCCAATTAAGAAACTGTTAACAAGAATAAGTACACAACAATATTGTAAGATCCTGATGGCAGTGAAGATGGAAAAGGTAAAGATGAATAAGAAAGACATTACTTCAGGGACCTGAGGCAAAGGAGAAGAATAAGAAATGTTCTGAAATCTTAAATCTAGTTATAAGGGGCACTAAGACCCTTCCATAATATTAAATATGAAGTAACACTAGAAAAAAATTTAAATGCACAGTAAGTATTAGAGGATAGATAATAAGTGATCTGGAAGTATTCATTTGGAAGTCTTTTGCCTAGAAATTATCGATCAAGCCAAGAAAGTGTTGATGACTTTGCTGAGGAAGGGAATCGGCAGAGTGAAGATGGCTGAGATGAATACCTAGTAAGTAGAAGGACCAAAATATACATTCAAATAAGATAATGATAGTATATTCAGAAAAACACCAAGAACCACCAAAAGAAGCCAAAAAGAGTGTTCAAGAAATAGAAAAAAATGTTTTAGTGTCAGGAGAGACCAAGAGCTATTTTAGAAAAGAGAAGGTGGGACCAAGGTCAAGGAGGCAAGAACCAACAAAACATTGTGTTTGACCTAGGGAGGAGAGATGGGGAGAGAGACATAGACATAAGACATCTCATTAATGAATGCCTACTATGACCCAGTCTTTGTGGTTGATTCATTCCTCAAGGTAATATTATTCTCTCAGTTTTTAGATGAGGAAACTTAACACAGAACTGAAGTTTTCTGGGTTAAGCATTCAAAGCCAAGTTATGGGTCTTTTCACTGTGTCATGGCAGAGGTCTCCTATAAGAGAAATGAGCAAATTGTGGATTGTGATTTGCCAGGTTTAAGAAATTTGGGGCCTTATTCTTATAGGTTTTTTTGTTTTAATGGACCCTCTGAGTTTATTAAATTGTATGAGTTAGAGTAGTACAACCTGAAGGCCTTAAAGAGTTATTTTAAGTAGCATCAAACATGATTCTAAAACCTTGAAGCCAGGGCTGCGGTTGTGGCTCAGCAGTAGAGCACTTGCCTCCCACATGTGAGGCCCTGGGTTCGATCCTCAGCACCACATAAAAATAAATAAATAAAATAAAGGTATTGTGTCCAACTACAACCAAAAAATAAACACAAAAATAAATAAATAAATAAAACCTTGAAGCCTTCTCTCAAAACAGATAGTCTTACTGCTCTTTCAAACCTCTTTCCAGAAATAACAGATGGTATTGTAAATTCTTCACTGCAACAACCAAATTTCCCAAGTTTGTTCTCTGGTATCTCTATGTCATATCTCAAATAGATAATTTCCTTTAATAAGAAAGTGATATAAACCAGTGTTTACTTTTTTAAAACAAATTATTATCTGGGAGAATTTCCTTTCATGCAGTAAGAATTCTTATAAGCATTAGCATAAAACAAAGTTGTAGAAAAAATCCATTTTTAACTTTCCTCAGTATCTTGAATATGCTCTCATAACCTGCCCAATTCTTTTATTTTATTATCTTGCCTCACCTACTCCCATTCATTTATTTAATAACTTAGCACATTAAGGAATTTGATAGGTGAGACTTGAATTTATGGCTTACCGGTGCTCCTTTGTCTTTGTTTCAGACCTTTGATGAATGTGTAGCTGAGGGCGGCTCAGACTGTGCTCCAGAGAAGCTCTGGCTTCAAATTCCATTCTTCTGTGGCCACAGCTCAGAATGCTGGTAGGGATATAGTTAGCTTAAATTATATTCCTTATTATTTCTATAATCTGTGTTTCACAAGTGAATGTGTTGATCAAGCACTAGCTATAGGGAAGTCAGTAAAAGATATGACTGAAATAATATGTAATTAAATAATATCTAGCTTTGTTGTTTCTTTTTAAAATGCATTTAAAAGATTGCTTCCATAAATAATCTTCATAGTCTTTTCTCAGAAGCTAGATTGTATTTATTTATTTATCTATCTATCTATTTATTTTTGTTTTTGATGTCCTGGTTTGCTCTATTCCAGCAAAATTCTTAGAGATCACAGGTCACTTCATAAACCTTATTTTTTTTGTACTAAGCTTACAGTTTAGTTTTTCAGGCTAGATCAAGAAAAGGCTTAGGGGATAAATTATTATCCTATCCTAGTTTTACTGTTAAACTGATTTTCACTTTAAGAGAGCCAAGGTTATGGTTGTGGTTTAGTATATTAACAAACATAAGGTAGACAATGTATTTTATCTTGAACAAAGAATTTGTTTCTTCAGAGTGTGCAGAGTGTTCAGTTTTTAAGAATAATTGTACATTATTTATTTGTTCTAAGTCATTTTAGTAGCAAAAGTAGGGGAAAAAATAGGAACATATTCAACGTTAAATAGTCCTTAAAACCATAAGGAGAAATGTAAGAAATTTCTTCACTGTTTGAGATGTATTATTTGATTCCTGTGAAGTTGAAGGTCCTACTTGGTAGATTATTTCAAAGCATCATGATAACACAATACTTGGAAGCATAGGAAGAAAGTCTTCTCAATTTTTAACCATTTCCTTAAAACTCAGATTGGCAAATTAAAGCCTACAGACTACATTTGGCACATCGCCCAGTTTTGTTTTTTTATAAATAAAGCTTTATTGGAACACAGTCATATACATGTGTTTACTTATTATCTATGGCTGCTTTCAAGCTGCACTATCAGAGTTGAGTAATTGTGACCTAAACCACAGAGCCTGCAAAGCCTAAAATATTTACTCTCTGAACCTAGAAAAAGTTTGCCAAGCCCTGCCTTGAAACTATAAGGAGTTATTTCTCTACTGGGCATTACTAAGATTGTAATTGAATTTCTTCAATACGTTTCATACTCAGAAGTGGGGGAAACCTTGGAAATCAACTGATTCAATTCCTCTTACCCCTATCCCCCCCCTTTAATTTTAATAAAATAAAAATAAGAAAGTGACAAATGTGGAAGCCACCAGCTGAAGCGTACACTGTTGCTTAAAGTCAAAACTGGAACTAGGATTAAAGAATGTTAGAGCAAAATCTATTAACAGCTCTAGTTGACAAAATAAATAAAAATAAAAGATTTTTAGTCAAGCCTTTTCTTACCTATTTTCTGTTCCTCAAATATTTCAGGAAACACAGCTGGGTGCAGTGGTACAAATCTATAATCTCAGCGACTCAAGAGGCTAAAGTAGGAGGATTGCAAATTTGAGGCCAGTCTCAGCAACTTAGCCCAGACCCTGTCTCAAAATAAAAAATAAAAAGGGATGGGGGTGTAGCTCATGGTAAAAAAAAAAAAGCGTCTCTGGGTTCAATCTCTGGTACCAAAACAACAACACATTTTCCCCCCTAAGAAACACTATGCTCAGCAAAAAACAAAAACACTAAGCTGAAATTAAGATAAGTGCTAAGTCAGGAATGGTAACACACACCCATTATCCCAGCTCCTCAGGAGATAGGCAGGAGGATCAAAAGTTTGGTCTGCCTGGGTCACTTAGGGAGGCCCTGTCTCAAAATAAAAATTTCAAAAAGTTTGGGGTCTAGCTCCATGTCAGAGCCCTTGCCCAGCATGCATGAGGCCCAGGTTTGATTCTCAGTACCTCCCAAAAAAGAAAAAAAAAAAAAAAGGAAAGAAAGATAAGCACTAAACACAAATTGCTTAGACCTTCCTAAAGAACTCTTGAACAAAGGTTATAGTGATTTAAAAAAAGAAATTATATTGACTCACTAAATCAGATAGAGGGAATATATGTTATATATGTGCATTTTAAAAACTGCCCTCAAAGTAGACTTTATTCATATTAAGAATCCTCTAGTGAAGTCTGAATTAGCACTGCATTTTGAGCAGAAACTGGATGGAAGCAAAGGAAATGAAAAACAGGTGTGCCTACCAAAGGATGTTAATAAAAGGGCATTAAAGCTTTGGATATACATGTGTTTATCTATTTTTTCCATAATATACAGTATCACGGTCATCAGATACTTAGCAGATTTCACAGCCAGTTTTTTAACTCCTTTTCTTTGGTTTCAGGAATGTGGGAAGCAGGTGGGCTATGGATCAAGCCAAGTATAACCTAATTAATGAATACTTCCTAGTGGGAGTTACTGAAGAACTTGAAGATTTTATCATGTTATTGGAGGCAGCTTTGCCCCGGTTTTTCAGGGGTGCTACAGAGCTCTATCGTACAGGTATATAAATGATAGGTTTCTTTTTTGTTTTGTTTTGTTTTTTGTTTTAATTAGTTATACATGATAATGATAGGTTTCTTTGTGAAGCTGTCCCTAACTTTTTTTGTTTGTCTGTAACTAGAAAAATATGTTATTTGAAATTACGTCAGTAAAACACAACAAATAGAAAGGCAGGTATATTGTTTATTTCTGCTAAGTATTTTCAGTACAAAACAGTGCCTAGCACACAGTTAGTGTTCATTAAATAATCTTTTTAATGAATAAACATGTATAAGGTGAAATTATAAGGCATTGTAGGAACAATGGAATACTTTAAACTTCAGAACTAGCTTAGTGTCATATGCAGTAAGGCCAGATACCAAGCATTGGGACGAGGTATTAAACCCTTAGACCTACTTACTACCATTTTAAAGTGGGCTGGGATGGTGGCTAAGACACTGTAATACAAACATCATGTGCTGCTTCTGCTGTAGTTTGCTAAAGGTCTGATTCAGCAGCCTTGATAGTTTGGAATATCTGAAAGTATGTGTGCAGGTCCAATCTAATTCTGATTTTTTTGTAAATTTCTTTGGCTATTGTTTGATAAGATGTAGTCATTGGAACTCCTGTCCTAGAGTGTGCATATGCCCTAGCTTCTACATGGTTATAACAAATATAAATTATGAGAAAGTAAAATTAAGTTTGGCAATAGATATTTTATCATTTTTAAAAATAAACTGGTCTTAGAGAACCAAGCACTTGAAAATACAGTGTATGAGTTGACAGCCTACAGATTACTGAATGGTAATCCTTACATTTACTGTTGACATTTCATTAAGTCTTCATGTGTTAAGGATTTACATTCTAAAAGAATAAATCTCAGTTCTAGTATGATCAGGGCTTCATTTTTTCTGAATTATGTTAATATAAGTTTGCTTGCCTGTCCTTCAGTGTGTCATATTAATTTAAACCATCGCTTCAGATAAAGAGGCCTTGATCTTTTGTGTGTTCTCTTAATTGTTTACTTTTCCTTTTTTTCCCTTTGTAAGTAGGAAAGAAATCTCATCTTAGGAAAACTACAGAGAAGAAACTCCCCACAAAACAAACCATTGCAAAACTACAGCAATCTGACATTTGGAAAATGGAGAATGAGTTCTATGAATTTGCGCTAGAGCAGTTCCAATTCATCAGAGCCCATGCTGTTCGAGAAAAAGATGGAGACCTCTACATCCTTGCACAAAACTTTTTCTATGAAAAGATTTACCCTAAATCGAACTGAGTACAAGGTGTGACTATTAAATTCTTGAACTAGAACTTTGACCTCGTCTTCACCTTAGTTCTCAGCTTCACAACCTAGATCACTGATTATATGTATAAGACCGTTTATATTGAGCTGAGTTAGGAAAAAGACATTACCATCAAGGAATTAGATACTGGCTGCTATGTCAGTGTTCTGAGAAGTTTTGCGTTTCAGGCATTTTTCTTTTTTTCTGTTTAAATTTTGGTGAGAGTTATAACCTCCTGCCTGGGGGGAAAAAGTTGCATCACCTAAAATAAACACATGGCAGGTCTAATCAAAAGACTAAATACACTTTCAGGAAGGGTTCTGATTCTTTTATTTTGATAAGCATTTTTTCACTTAAAGATGAATCTATTTGCCACTTCACCTCTACTGAATAGTGTTAATAACTGTTTGGCAGTATGTGCTTTGTTTTTGTGAACCATGTCTCATGAAATTTATTGGAATGTTTGATCATGTTTGCTAAGAAATATTTCTGCTGGAGTTGGACTTGCTCATATTTATGTAGGTGGTTTTAATTTTTTTTGTGTGTGTGATCATTAGTTTTAAATCTCAAGTTAAACCATGAATGATGCTATAAAAGTTAAAGCAGTATTTCTCATTCCTGTCTTCCCAGTATCTAATATTGGGAAGATACTTCTAAGAATGTTGGCATTATCTGAAGTTTTAGTTAAGACTTAAACACATTAATATTTTAAAAAGCAGATTTAGTATTTGTTTCATCATGGGTTATTTGTATAGCTGTAAACTGAGATATTGGTGACTCCATATTATGACTCCATTAGTGAGCTGTGGTATGGGTAGGATTTTCCTACTTCTTCTGTACTTTTTCCTGTAGACTATTTTTACTGAGGTGCTTTATAATGTGTTTTAAAGCATTGCATTTACAAAAACAAAAAAAAGGAAAATGCTGTAAATATTGCATATTTTATGTATTTGGACCAAAAGGTTACAAGTAATTAGACAAAGTGATTTTGCACCAATTTTATTATGTCGAGTAAAAATCATCAGGTCTACTGTTCTTGTATTCTCATTTAACTTTACTGTTAAGATGTCACTGAAATGAATTTCAATAACCTTTCAATTTTGATAGAGTACATTATTCATTACGGGAGGCAGAATACTGAAAAGAGTACTAAGACGAGGAGTCAAAATTTTTTGATTTCTGGTCCTTGTTCTGCAATTTCCAGCTGTGTGATCTTGAGAAGTCACTTAGCCTCTCTTTGCCTCAATTTCCTCATCTTGAAATGAGGATAATAATACCTGCTGTACCTACCTCACAGGGCTGTTGTGAGGACTAGATAAGATGGCATGTTGAAAGCACTTTGAAAATTGTAAAGTGATATATAAATGTAAGGTATTATTATAGAAACATCTTTAACATATAGTTTCATACCATTCATTTTTTAAACAAAGAAAAGTCCACTTTTAAGCTTTGTGAAAAAAAATTTATCTTGATATAAATTTGTGTTTGATAAATATCTTCCCAGTGTTTTATCTTCCATGTTTCAACAACTATTGAAATATGAAACATCTGTGAACTCTTGAAGATTCATGAGCAGCTGAGCAGCTGCTTGAGTTCAGAAGATTCCCTGTTGGAAATAGACTTGGTTAGCTCACTAGAGATAGGGAAACCTTGCTCTTCAAAGTTGAAAGATTTTTTTTTTTTTTTTGGCTGTTATTCTACATTACCATTCAAAAATGGTAGCTATTTTATACCTATGGTTTTTAAAATATATTTTGCAGAGTTTAATTTCCCAGTGCATTCTTTACCTTCTTCCTCTTCTTAGAGTAACAGAGATGAAGAATTTTAGAAATGTTTTCTAAAAGAATAGTCTTTAATATGTTTAGTTTAAGTGAATATATCTGAAAAAGGCTTCACCAAACTCAACATGTTAGGCAGATTGCCTTAGAGAAGTGTAGGGGAGGAAGAAGCACTATTTAGCAGCAAACATTTATAAATAGCTCAAGAAACACTAAAGGAATGACAGAATCATTTTTAGCCTCTTTACCCCAAGTGAAGGGAAATATTAAGAGAACATAGCCAGGCATATATTGGGGGGGGGGGGGGTATTCTTGTTTTAAATTTAACTTTACACATATTTGCTGAAAACACAGATTGTCCCACCACTCAAAAGTAAAACACCACTTCTAGTGGGGTGTTTGACATTCACCCACTCATGAACAACCCCAGGTTGTTCTTGGAGTACATGCTAAAGCCTTCTTGAGGTGCATTAACTCGTAACTAGAGTAGTTCTTAGTAATACACAGATCAGGGGGTCAGTAAACTACTTCTGTGAAGGACCAGAGAGTGAATAATTTAGGTCTTTGTTATAACCACTCGATTCTGTCATTGCTGGAAAAAAAGAAAAGAAAAAGTACCTTAGTATAGAAACAAATGAACATGGTTATGTTCTGAGAAAACTTTATTTACAAAAACAAATGACATACTAAATGTGGTCCATGAGCTACCAGCCCCTGCACTAGAAAAATCATTTATGGAGAAATCATCTTTGTACCTGTACTCTAGAGGCCTAAAGGAGTTTATATACTTCCAAAAGCTCCTGGCTTATGTCCAAAGAATAACTTTCTGATTCATGCAGTCTCTCCCACAGATTCATAAACTTTTATGTATATTGCTTCCTAGTGGGCATGTTTTCTTTCCCAGGTTAACAGTTCAGAATAGGGACATATATTTTAGCATTTTTTAGGGTGAGTTAGGAGTGTCCTTCCTGTAGATTGAGAAAGGCATAGATTGAATTCCATCCGGTCCAGTACAGTCCTAGGAGTCTGAGTCCTTATAATACATAACTTTATAATCAAATAAATAGAATCACTGAGACAATATGTATTTTTTTAAAGTGGCAAACGTGGTTTTCTTTTTTCAGCCTTAGTGCTTTTTCAGTATTTTGACCATAGGGAGATATTTTTTTTATAATACAAAAGCAAATTAACCACTTTGAATTTTAAAGAAAATGTTATATGTGTATGTGTATATATATCTATATCTATGTTTATTTCCTAAAAAGTACCTTTTTGTTCAACTTGTATCGACTCCTGTTTTCTAATTGCTGTGAAATGACAACTTGATAAATTATTGTGATTGTTTTAAAATGTAATGGGGAGGATATATTTTGGTTTTACCCAGCTTTAATCTGTAAAGTATCACTTAAATATATCTGATAGCAACACTTAAAATATTGCATGGGAATTACTTTTCTATCATCCATATGCATTTGTGCAATTTCTAAAATATTGGATGCATCTGAATCCTTGATGATTGGATTTAAACGATTGAAAATCAAAGAACTTAAAACTTGCTGACTTTTAAATTTTTAATTTTATTCTCTATTCTTAAAATTCAGTTAATGCCTATAATTAGAAATCTATTGTTCTTGTTCTTTATATGTCCTATTGGAAATTCCTAAAATTTTAGTGCTGTCAGTAATTTCCCAAACAGTATTTTGATATTGCAGATGATTTGCTCATTGTATTTGCATAGTTAGAAAGAAAATAGTTTGTAGACAATGATTCTTTTTTAATAAAATGAAATAAAATTTTAAAAGCATTAGAGAATTTAACTAAAGACTGGTTCCCAAATGCATAGCTGGTATTTTAATTTATATTTAAATTCTACAGAGAACATCTGTGTAAATCATCTAGCTGGATTTTCCCATTGGTCATTGTCAAACACACCTATGGTCTCAGAATCCTTTATTATGAGGAGCACCTGGAACTGTAACCTTTTATGAAGTTTGTCTTTAAGAGGCCCAAGTGCTTCTGCTTTATGATTTGAATGTTTGCCTCTTTTTAAATTTAGTGCTATTTACTCTGAGAGGAAGTGGGGCAGTTGCCGTTAAGTTTTTGCATCCATGTACCCAGTGCAAAGTTGTTGTGAACTGCTCTCCAGGCAGCTTCTTGAAGGGAAAGCAATCCTGTTTCAAATGCACTGCCAATTCAGCTCCTCTGGAGCTTACTTTGATTCCCTGGAGGGGGAATTTTAGAAATTGAAATGAGTGACCATTTAGTCAGATTTATCCTATAATTTAAATTCATGCAGCTTTGTGACCTTTGCAGGACTATTTATAAAATGGCCGCTGATGATAATGACCTCTTTAAAACATTCTTGGTAAACCTGTGACAGACACACTGGTGCCGTCCAAAAAGACGGCTTTTGTAGCTTTCTTTTTAGAGTCAGTATGTGAGTATCTCTAAAGCTGTGTTCAATGTAACTTAGAGAAACACATTGTCTGTTTTGACTTTTCTTTTATAAATAGCTAAGCAGTGCCTTCCCTCCATCACACGCAGTCCTCTTGGAAGATGCTCATTACTTCTTTTCCTGCCCTCCCCACCTGCCAGTTGATTCATTTATGCAACTGTTTCCAACTTCAATCCATTTTGTCACATCTGTTGGAGAGATAATCACTCCTTTTCTTTAACACTCTGCCAGCTTTCTGTTGTTGAAGTGTTTTAGTTGACTACCTGATGCAAACGCTATAAAATAAACACTCAATGGGAAGGGGAACATGACTTGGTGTCTTGTCTTAATATTTCCTTCTGTGGCTTTGATGCTAACGGGTATTCTAAGCTGACTTGGTGTTCAGCACCATCACCTTAACTACCAATTATTGTTGCCACCAGAAGGGCATGCATCATGGTTGGTTTGTAATGATTTCATGGCTCCTTTGTGGCTATAAACTTTTGTTGTTTTTTAAATCAGGGCCTCCATCATGGGAGGCAAGTGCCTTCTACCACTGAGCCATACCTGAGCCCTTGATAAATCTTGATATCCTTGGTTTTTACCTTGAAACTGAGGTTTCAGGCTCTGTATGGTTTCTGATATTCCTGTAGCATTTGGAACTTGCCTCTTCCCTTTCTCTATAGCCCTTTACCATATACATTGTTGCTTATGAATATTCTCATAGCTTAGCAACTGGAAGTGACATTTGAAAGGTGCAGTTGGAAGGTGTCAAGATCTACAGTGAAAGAAAAAGGCAGTTTGTAGAATGTCCAGGTGAGCTCTGAAGCTCCATCACTTATTATCTGATCTTGAACAAATTAACTCCCCAAGGTGGAGTTTCCTGATCTGTAAAGTAGGACTAATAATGTCAAGAGAGAGTTAAGTGTGCTGATGTACATATGTGTAAACTTGGGACTTAGTTCGTATTACATAGTAAACACTAAAGAAATGCTAAATCATAATAAATATGAAAAAAAAAAGACGAGGAACCATCTATTTGGACAAACTATTGAGGTATATATTCACTCATTAACATTTGCCTCAGTTGAGAAATATGAAGTATGAACAAAAGGCATGGCCTTTATTTGTCAGGCAGAGACGGGTAAAGAAGAAACAGCACCATGCAAAAGTCCCTCTTAGACTCTGGGGAACTCAGTGGTAGAATGTGGACTTTTCATGCATGGGGCCCTGGGTTCCATCTCCAGCACACCACACACACACACAAATTCCTTTCTTATCAAGAAGTTGTTTTCTGTTCTCCCTTTGCTGTTGTTCAAGTTTTATAAAACCCCCTGGACCTTTTAGTTAAATGTACTTAAATTAATCTTTTAGCTTTAACCTGGAAATAGCAGAAACATCAATGTATCCCATGTGATCAAGTTCTAGACATCCTGTACACATTAATTTGTTCTGAAGTATAGACCTCTATATTCAACTATGTGATAGGCTTAATTTCATAATATAGCTGTCCTCTTATTTAAGATGCCAAATTACGTTCATGGGTTAAGATTTTACTCTGATGGGTATGGCTAACATCCAGATGCAATTTTTAGTTCTATTTCAATTCCAAAGTAATTTAAGCAATAAGAAATACAAATAAAGCAATATACACTTAGTCCCAATCTTACAAATGGTTAATGTTTTCAGAATCCATTATAGACTGGTTGTTTAGAATCTATGTAGAACCAGTATTATACCTGTGGGCCCAGTATGCAACAACCCATTTGGACATTCGTGGATTTACCCCTTCACCAGAGTAGAGCTTCCTAAGGCTGTCTCTTTCCTGGGGCAGCTTGTGGTGTTTTTTGTTTGTTTGTTTGCCATTTTCTCAATGGAGGTTTTTTCAATCTTGAATCCCAAGCTAGGTAGTAGTAATCTGGATTTTAATGTGTGGGTGATGGAGATTGTAAGGCAAAGGGTGAAGTAGTCATTTTTGAGGTTTTAAAAGATATTTGCAGCAGTGCCAAGAATGGGCCCTCAGGCTAAAGGTAAAGAATACAGAAACTTCTGAGGAAGTGACTACATTTGTCTAGAGAAGTGATAAGGCTGGGGAAAAGCAGATGAATTTGTGGGCCAGAAACATCAACATTTTGGTGACAGGTGGGGTATGGCCAGTAAATAGGCAGTGGAGATGATAACGTGGGTTGTGACAACATCAGTGCAAATTTTCAGTGTCCCTTATCTTTGTGTCAATTACAAAATGATTATTTTCTAAATCAAACAGACTAGTGTTTGCCCAAAGAACCTAATATCACAAAGAATTCCACATCCCCCTATCAAATGTTAATTTTTTTTTTTTGCCTCTTTTGCTCATTTAGGTTTGGTCACCTGGCATAGGGGGTTTAACAGAACTTGCCAGAAACACCCCTAACATCTTGTGGTTTGATGATGGAGGCATCTAATGAAACACCAGCCTCAGCCTCAGTCCATCACCGTGACTTCTCTGAGCTGTAGCTTTAAAACCAGAGTCACACCTGGAAACATTGTACATCATGAGCACTGAAGGAGCATAGAGAAAAAGTTGTTGGATCAGTTTTCATTTCAGGGTTCTTATCAAGGGTTTGAGCACTAGATTACCAGAGTCTTCACCTGTCTGTCAGTGATGCTGGCAAAGGAACAGGATGAGCTGAAAGTGGGGCAACTGACCTGGCCAGGTTTGGTCACCAAATACCCCTGCCCCCATGAAACAGGCAACATAAGTATTTTGAACAGTAAAAATGTTAAGCTGGACATGATGGCACACAACTGTAATCCCAATGGCTCGGGTGGCTGAGGCAGGATTCCAAGTTCAAGGATGACCTTGGCAGTTTAGTAAGGCCCTAAGCAACTTAGTGAGATCCTGTCTCAAAAAAAAGAAAAAGAAATTTATTTCCCTGATCCAAAAGATTATCCTGGGATTCCAGTTCCTAGTTTAGTTCTTTCTTCATCTCCCTCCTTCCAATTTAAGTTACTCAATCTCTTAGAAAATTGACATCACAGAAACTCTCATTTAAACTCCTAATTTGAGATTTTTTTTTTTTAGCACATGCATTCTTAAAGGACCAAGTTAAAGCTTTAACCTGCATCTAAATAAATGTTGAAATCTGGTAAGGAGTAAACTTTCAGTCCCCAAGTGATTTGGCTTCTGAACTTTGGTTTACTCTCACTAATATGAACCAAGTTGACCTAAAACTTGTTATTTCATGTAGCATCCCTAGAAATTTATTTAATGTTGGTGGCAGTTAATTAGTATCCATTTGATTGATTCTGGATGCCCCTTGATAATGCAACCAGGTTGGGCCATAAAAATCAATGTACAGAGTTGTTAGTCTTAGCTATTTGACACTGTCCCATGTTTTTAAGCATCTCTCAAGAGAAACTAGCTGGAATACATCTTTTCTGGATAACCACATATACTAGTAGTTCCATTTGAAGTGGGCAGAGCCTTCCTGAAAATGGCTGACCAGGAATTAGTGGCATTTTATTCAAATAAGAGTAACCAGAGACTTATTTTTTTCCCTTTAAAAGTCATTTAAAATTCTCCAGAGGATTAATAAATCAGGTCTCTTGGCACAGCATGGTAACCTGATCCGACTGTCATGCCCATAAATGGTGAAAGTGCAGGATGTTGACCCATTTGCATGCATGTAAAAAGCCGGCTGTGGAGGTTGCCCTCCTTCTCTGTCTCACACTCTTTTCTGTTTCTTTGTTTCAGACAGGGGCTCTTTAAATAGCACCTTTAGACAAGAACAATGTTTTAAAAGTTGGCCAGTTTTATTTTGCTTCTCTATTTCTACCTCACTAATGGCTCCCTACTTGATCATTTAAACACTGATCCAAATCCAGATGGAATTAGATGCCCCTTCCTGCTGTGGTCCCGCAGTCAGACAGTCTGTAATGTTTGATACAGATCTTCTGAGTGGACAAGATGAGATTAGATTGGTCTCTCTGGGAGCCAACTATTCATTTTGTAAGAAAGTTATACTGGAGGCCTGAAGACTGCCAAGAGCAAAGTGGAAACAGAGCCCAGCCTTCTCCTCTTATCAAGATCCACAGTTGGTTCCACATTAAGCAGTGGAGCACTCTACAGTAAAAGGATTTGAATAATGAATTGAATCAGAAGCCAAGGGGGAGGTCCCTGCCACCCACGATTGGAATATGAATTTCATGTGTTACAACTTTATTACTGCTCTTTGTCTTAATGTATGAAAAAGACTGAAATCTAAATATCCAGCACAGAATGAGTGGCTATTTTTACTTATTGGTGAGTTATTGTTGCTTTTTTTTTTTCATATTTATTGAGCCTCTTACAATGTGCCAGGAACTACACTATAGACTCTGTACCATGAGCTATAACCTTTAATGCTCACATTTAATCCTTCTATGATCATGTAGAACTTCATAACTTCAGGAAGCACTGTCACATTATCTTCTCTGTTAGATTCTCACGTGGAAGGTGATTAGTACAGACTGAACAACTGCAGTGGTTCTTACACTACACTCCCATCTCTAGACCAACACCATCAGTATCACCTGGGAACTCACTGAAACAAGGCTTAACCTCCAGACCCGAATAGACCCAGCAATCCATGTTAACAAGCACTCCAGGTGGTTCTGATCCAGGTTAAGGTTCAAGGACCACTGGACCAGAACAGTTTGCAGATGTAATGACAAACTGAGTAAGCCATCTAAGGCCTTTCCTACCAGAGGTGATGAGCTAGGATTTGAACCCAGATCTGCCTGGCTCCAACTACATCTGTTTCCTACATTGGGCTTCCTTACTAACTACAGTTCTGTCTATCTTACATACTCCAACTTTGGTAATTCCATCTGAAACACCTTTTGGGGAAGAGGAAAGCAAGTCAATAAGAAGAAAAAGGTCTTTGGGTATGGTAGTGCATGCCTCTAATCCCAGCTACTTGGGAGGCTAAGGCAGGAGGATTACAAATTCCAGGTCAGCTTCAGCAACTTGATGAGACCCTGTCTTAAAATGAAAGATAAAAAGAGCTGGGGTTGTAGCTTAGTGGTCGAGCCCCCCACCCTGCCCAGTCAATCCCCAGTAACCAAAAAAAAAAAAAAAAAAGAGAGAAGGAATAGGAGAAGGAGGAGGAAGACGTCTCTAGTTGAGATGACATGGAGGATGGAATTCAGGATGGCTACTAGAATGCTTAGAAAGGATAGGAAGTCCATGAACATAGCTACTCACAGTAAGCATATGACATCTGGACTTTTCCTGTGTTGAGTTTGGGTCTAATGTTCCCTGGTCGCGCCTAATATTTTACTGCAATGTATTTAATGGCAAGAGAACTCC